TGACCGAGACTGAGTGCTGCCCCCATTGCATATTTCTCATTTTGGGGCAGGATCTCCCATTCAGTATCCTACAATGTCATATACCGATTCATTTGGTCTCCATGAACGAGTTCCTCTAATGTTGTATTTGCAGCTCTTAACCTGCAGCAAATACCCCAAAATATCATTCCATGTATCACTAAAAATAACAATAGAGAGATTAATTTCTGATTTAAGTGCTACAATCACACCATTAGCTATCTTTAAAAGTTATAAATTTTCAAAAACTCCAAAATTATTACAGCTGACAGTAATTACAGAATGAGATATTCACCTCACCAAAGGGTACAAATGCAGTCACTGTGCTACATCCACAGAGGACAGGGCTTTAGGCTATTCCCTTCAAAGTTACTATACTTGTCTTGATTTCCTCCTAAATTATTTCAAGTCAAAATTTGTTTCAAAAAAAAAAAAATCAAATGCAGAAATGCAGCAGTTAATATTCTTGTTAATGAGTTGAAGCCTTTTAAAAAATATTACATGCACAGTTAACCACATATACTCTGAGAATATACTCTGAGAAAATAATCCATATTTTGAGGATTAAAGCAAGAACGTTCTTTCAAGCACACTTTTTCTTTAGCAGACTGTAGATTGGTGTCTTGACTGCCCTTCATATATGGTAATCAAGATAGATGTTGGAGATGTTACAAGAAAGAGCAGTAAACACCACAGAAAGTAGCCTGGATAAATCTTCAGCATAAATAAACCTCAGTTGGTAGGGAGCCAAACAGAGTAATCAGCAAGCGACCTGCATTAAATTAGGTCATACCCTCTCTCTTCTGTCATGAAAACAACTACTGTGAAAGACCTTTAATGTATTTAAAATCCCAGTGGATTTATTGACAGTACCTTTGTCTGGACCATGCCTGGTCTCTGGTCCCTCAAGTGCTCCAGGGTAGCAGCAATATCAATCTCTTTAGCACCTGCAACAAACCACAAATTGGGCTGAGTTCAGAGCACAAGATAATCCATGCTGCATCTGTCAATCTCTTGCTATCGGGTTCCCTTTGGGCTACCAGTCCAATTGAAAATTATTACATCCATCTCTCAGCAGACTTGGCAGGCAGCTGCAATCTCTGTGTTCATATAGAAAAAGAAGAGGTTGGGGCAGCTTTTATTAACATTAATTCAAGGAAAGCCAGTGAAAACCAAATTCTTAAAAACGCCTCTGCACCTAGAGCAGAATATATCTGCCACAATGTAGGAGTCCTGCTTGGCTATGCCACCAAGTGACCCTGTCTCACCACTATGAGTATGCACTGAACTAAGGGCCGGACGCACACAAAGATTTATGCTGTTAAAACAGGGTTTGGGTGAACTTCTGTCACCTGCAGCTGAGATCTGGAAAACCTGCCTTTGGCTTCCTAGTTTAGGACCCGCCAGATCATCTTGCTGCATGATCCCTGTTTGAGCTGGCAAATCTGTGGCATTGACTTTAGGGTGCACGGACACAGCTGCTGTGCACGGATCTGCAACACCAGTATGCATAAAACAGGCAAGCAGAACCTCACTCCTCTGAGGACCAGCTCCCTTCCTCAATGCAAATGTAGATGCTTTCCTTTGCAAACAAGATGGGGGGAGAGCAAAGCAAGTCCTGTAATGACCTAGAACCTAGAGACCTGAAGGGGACTAGAAGGTGCTGATTTCCTCCTCAATTTCTTTTTTGGTCAGTCAAAACCACCCTCCTCACTTTCCATAAGTGCCTAAGTACACACTATTTGAGGGAATCGAGAGGAAATTAGGATTCTGGTCCCTCCAGTGAGTCCTTGCATGATTCCCCAGGGCGGAAGCCCACCTGGAAGCCCTCAGAGCCGAGAGCTTCCTCTAAAGCTGAGGAATATACTCAACTCAGGCCTCCCCCTCTTGTACGGATGCTTTAATCATTAAGTCAGTTGGTCAATGATAGGCATCGGCTTCGTTCGGAAATGTGCAAATGGATTGCTTTGCACATGGATTGTTTTGAAGGATACTCATAGGTGTGCTATGAGGCGGACTATGGATGTACAGTTTGCTAACCGTTTCCTATTGCATGGCCCTAGGAATCTCACAGCCCAGCGCGTGTGTATTCGGGACTTTCTTCTGGAGGCATTTAAACCTCCCCAAGTGCTTTGCGAGCCAGACACCTAACTTATCTCAGGGGGCTAGAGCTGCTGCAATAGCTCACTTGCAAAGGTCTAGAACAGACACCGGTCTAGTTCCCAGGACTGAATTTGCAGGGACGGGCCCAACACTTACCACTCTGCATTCTAGTGAACTCCAAAAAAACACTTACTGTAAATCAAATGAGGTGTTGGATTTAAGGGCATAAGGCTAGCTGTAATTGGGTTTATGTCAATGTAAACATCTTGCACCTCCTTATTTACCCAACACAATTTCATAACTCAGCACCATCTTTTGAAAAATTCAGAAAGGCAACTAAAAGTAAATGATTTAATTTGGATTAATTTGATAAGAGACATGAGACGATCTTTAAAAATAACATCAACTCTAGAAGCATAATCGATTTGCAAGTGCCTCCTTGAAAATATACTCTTTGGCTGTATCAGAATTCACTCAGGAAATTAACAGCGACAACTTAGAAAGGGTATCTGACATAGACATTTTGCTAATTACCATAGGATTGAGGCACTGTATAATTTTTGCTTCTTTTTTCCACACGTTGTATGGGAATTTACATGGAGGACATTTCGACAAAATAGAAGGTTTTACTTTAAAAGCAAAAATAAAACTCTACAGCGGAGCAGAGCAATGCACAGCTCATAAGCTTTGAAGTCTGACAGCAAGGACAGGAATAATAATAACACCCTAAGTCAGCTGCAGTTTTTACAGGTGCCACTTATCCGAAAGCATCAGTAAAGGTACGGCTTGTGCTTCAAAGGGTGCAAATCGTAGCAGAAGCAGCTCAAGGTAGCTCATTTCAGTGTTTAATCTCGCACATGCACATACAAGCAGGAATTTCACCACTGACTTCCGTGGGAGCAGAGTTGGGCGAGTACTGCACACGCTGCACAAGTCTTATTTCTGGCTTGATCAGAATACCAGGAATTGAAACGTCGCAGTAGTATCTTGGCTCAGTATAAGAGGAATTTTCTCTTTCAGAAATTAAGATTTGAGAAAAAATTCAGCACAGCGACATCGATGGCCTGGGTTAGCGAAGGTTGGGTGCTGCGAGGAGGACCACAGCCCTCCTCCCAGCCCAGCGGGCGCCCTCGCGGGCTTCCCTGTGCTGCGAAATGCGCATGTCCACCTCATCTAGCGAGGGATGCTCCTTAGTTGAAGCTACCTCAGCCTCAGCAGAATACAGTAACATATCAGATGCCGGGAAAAGTTTCCTGATAAGACCTAATAGCCCTTTTTAATGGACAGACAGGCTTCTGTGGCTATCTTCGAAGAAGTTAATTCCTTCATTTCTATGATGCAGGTTGCAGGCATTTACTAGTGAACTGATGCTTGCTTTTTGATCATCGTTAGTGGAATGACATGCCTAATAGTATGAACAATGCCTGATCACAAAATCCTGATTTAGCAAAACACCAAAACATATGCTTACATTGGAACATAGGAATAGCCCTAGCAGGCCAGTGTGCTTAACAGAAAGCTTGTTTTGAAGCGTTTTCCCAGCAGAAGTCACCGAAACATCAGCTTTTACTGGTCAGTGTCCCCAACACATGGGTTGTGATCAGCACGTCACCCACAAGCCCTTCTGATGTCTTCAGCCACACATAATTAAAAAGCGAAGGAGAGCAAAGTTCTGATTTTGCCCCAAGCGTGTATCTCGCTGAGAGGTCAGGGAGCACCGTCACAGGCCACCTGCAGTGCCCGCAGCACCACAACGCACAGGTTTGTTGACTGAAGAAGGAATTTAATGAAGCAAAATCAGTGTATCATCTCTGAGGATGAGTTTTACTCATTTTCTCTCCAGCTACGCAGTTAAGCTACACAGAAAAGCAAGGGAAAGTGAGGGAAGAGACTGCTTTGCTGCCCACTTTAACATTTCAGAATGCTCTGACACTATGGTGACAGCAACTACCTAAGTGCCTAGAGAGGCTGATCAGCAAAACATAGTGCTGCAAAGATGGGCAGCTGCTTTGAAGCAAAAATATCTTGGAATAAGAAAATTCAGAGGAAATAGGATGAAATCCGTGGCACAGGAGAAAGCCAGCACGACTTGTTTTCTCTCTGCATGAGGAGACCTCTCTCCTTTCCCTA